GTGAAGTTCACAAATAATAGATCGACAGAAATGAAGAAATTTATGTAAACAGTTACAAAAAGAGAACAAAGTATTGAACTCAATGATTTCGAAAAAGTAGAAGTGGAGTTTAAAAACAAATACATAGTTTGTCGGAAATAACGATTCACCTATACCCTTAAATATATTAAAACTAAATTAAATGGAAAATAAGGCCAATGATGGCCTAAGTTTCTTAACCAATAAGTCACTGTGCTTACTGAAACGTTCTCAGTGAGCTTGGCTACTGAAATAGGCATCAAATCATCCAATTTATAAATACTTTTTCAGCTAAGTGTTCTCAAGTATTTAATTTATATAATTTGTTTTAGATACATACAAGAGGTATGTACAATCCTGAAAAAGAAAGAAGTATCAAAATTAATTTTTTATCGAGAAGGGGTGGAGTTCGACAAAAAGAAAAGGAAAAAATCTAGTTTGTTCAAAAACGATCGCTATCCCCTTAAATAGATTAAACCAAAAGGAATTAAACGAAAATCAAAGGACGATGATGTTGGGCTTGGTTTCTTAGCCAGTAAATCCAGGTGCTTAGTCAAACGGTCTAAGAGAACTTGACTACGAAAAGAAACATCAAATTTATAAGTACTTCCTTCTCTATTCTTCAATTTAATTTGTTTTGGCTATGTCTGGGTTTCTTCACACAGGAGGTTGCCCAGATGAGAAATGGGATGTGGTTTTTTTATATTTTTACGACGATGGTGATTGGAAACGAGAGCCTAATCGGTAGGAGTTGTAAATTTCTCTAAAACAAGATGTTCCAACGGCCGTAAATACTGTATGCATTGGCTACTTATCGGAGACGGCCGAGATTGGACCGTGCATAAATTATACGACCATGGTGTCGATATAAACAGCCTCCTATCTGCAAATGAGACAAACACCTAATTCATCCAAGAGGTAGACTTTTGATCGTCACCGGCTGTTCATCAAACCCGACTGGCGATATTTAGTGCGATGTCCTTTCAAGATTTCCACGTCCGGTCGTGAAGAAAAGGGTACATCTAACCCGTCGAAAATTTCAATACTGCTTATCAATTATGCTTGAAATCTGTTGAACCCATCGATTTTTAACATAATAAAGTCAATTATTCACGTTTATTTCCTGGGCATACAACAGCTGGAGAGTGCTGCAAGCGGTTACGAGATCTCAAAGCGATGGTGCTTTGCCTTGAGCGACATTTGTAACAGATGGACAATGGGGTTAGTCTGAATCAAAAAAATGAAAGGCTCGTATTAACTCTTCAAGAAGTGTAACGAGTAAAACACTTATTTCTAAGCTTAAAAGAAGGAATAATTTTATTGCCGTCGTGTTGTCGTTCGTTACAACAATTTTTTTTATTGTGCCCTGCTACAATCATACTGTCAATATATTTAAATAATTTATTTAGAGATCCAAGATATGAAGAAAAAATCAACAAATATAGTGGCTATTCTATTATACTGATATTGACATAATTTGGGACACATATTCAAGATATTAAATTGAATAGGCAAAGCAAGTTTCCTAATATTTTGTTGTATAGATCAAAAGAAAGCATACATTTAGGGGTTCCCGTATATAACGGAAGAATCAACAAAACCGGCGGCTATTCTTGAATACTAATTTGGATCAAATTCTGTATAAACATACACGATCATAAAATGAATATACCAAACCAAGGTTCAAAACATTATGTCGTACAGGTAAAAAGATATTTAAAGCATACATTTAGGGGTTCCCAGATATGAAGAAGAAAGAAATGACTAAATCTAGCGACAATTCTTTTATACTGATTTTTTGCAAATTAGGAATAAATATACACCTTAATAAAGTGAATAAAATAAACCCAGTTATGTGGTATATGCCAAAAGATATTTCCAAAAGTATAATGTTTTATTAAACGTGCTGGCAATTTTGTGAAATTAAGTATTAATACACTAATCGATGATACTGGTAATTAAATAGTACTTCAGTCAAAACTTCCGATCGGCTTATATCTATGGTTATAAAGAACAAATAATTTTTGTGGGAAATCATAACTTTTTGCAATGTCTTACATATCTTATGTTATATACGTTAATGTTTGATGTATAATTTCTTCTTGCTCTGTGTGGTCTGCAAGGTTGTGAACCTTTATAAACTAGTTGGGGGCGTCGGTGTCTGTGGCGTGTGTAGTCTTTGACAAGACGGTCAGGTCCGGGGTTCGAATCCAGCGGCCCTGCAATCGAACCCGACCCACTTACAAATGGGCTTTTTTTCAAAAACACCCTGAGGGTTTATATGACCTCTGCTGTTGCGCACCCCGAAAAAAAAGTAAATTTTTCCGCAATGCTGCCCGTGGTGACTGGTAGAACCAAAAATAAAGCTAAAACAGTCCTTGAAGGCTTGTTTTGCCTTGTTGTTTGTTTTGGTTTTATTTTGTGTTAAATTGTCAGATGCCAGAAGCTAATATAAAAGTAAAATTAATCAACTGTTTCATTCAAAATGCTATCCCTCCAAAAGTACTAACAAATGACACGCTTTAATTGTGCCGACGTACCTAACTTGTATCCTGAGGTCTAACTGCCTACAACTTTGTAGGATATGGGATGTATCTATTATGAATGAGCGCATAAAGACAGGTCAGAAATTAACAAAAGAAATGTGTTGGTCTGATTTGATTAATATGTATTTAAGAATAAATATACGTGTAAACAAAAAACAGCTGTTAAAATCATGGCTGCCATGTTGGGTACCTACGCTCTAACGGATAGCAAAGTGACTACATTTTCGGACCTAACACCTCACAGTGGCTCTGGCCTGTTAGATCGAGCCGATTCTTACAAGTCTACGTAATTTTTTTCGATCTAACAGGACCTAACAGAGCTAACAGGGTTAATACAAAGATCGTGAATACCCCTAATATAGTGGCATGTGTTGGCAACATGTTTTACCAACTACTCAAGGACAATTTTGAAATAAAAACCAAATCATTAGTTAGTTAGTTGGTGTTCGGTTATTTTAGTATGCCTATTCTCGTTGAATTTGTCTGTTTGTCAAAATATTCACTAATAACCTGCATTTATTATTAGAAATCTTAGACATTCCGGAAAACTTGAGTCGAGGAGCACGGCTAAAAATTACATAAAATAAAGCACAGAAAGACGAATCGCTAAAGATGGCGAAACTTGATGAACTTATAAGTCTTTAATAATCTATTTTCAGTGGTGCCTCACCCTGTTAAAAACCTCTGAATAACAACTGTAGTTGACGAAATGCGTTTGACAGCCCAGAAGAACGAGGTAAGCGGAGCAAAATGATCAGAAATAACCTAATTTCCGAGAAAAATTCACCATTGTTGTAATTTAAAGCGGTATCGGTTGTGTGATTATTTGTTGAGATCTGCGGTGGGGTATCCTTTTATGTTGGTCGTCTTCCATCATCCGTTTTCAGTGGTAGGCTTCGTTTCCTCACCCTATAATAAACAGGTTATTAGTTTATTATCCTTACACAGCTAGAGAAGATGGTGAAATGCGTCTAACATACTAAAACAGAGAGGATGGGAGAAACAAAATAGACAGGAATGATCGAACTACGAAAAAAATCTATCTGCACTCGTTCTAATTTAAATCCGTACAGGTTGTGAGTTTTCTTGTTGAGATCTACGGGGGGTATGAATTTGCAGGTTTTCAACTATCTATTTTCGATGGTGTGATTGTGTTACCTCACCCTGTTTTTATCCTTAGCCCTACCACTGTGGATGACGAAATGCGTCTGGCAGGCAAAAACAGCGAGGATAAGAGTGGTATTATAAGAAATGCAAAACTACCAATAAATAAAATAATAATCCCATAGTGAAGTATGCAGTTATTGAAATATGACATTAATATGTGACAATGTGATTTTTTTGGTTTTATTTTTTTGACAATTTCATATTAACTTACCGGTTAATTATTAGCAAAACAATTTTTGCATCCTGATGAATATATAAAATGATCAAGAAGTAAGTCGGTCGTCTTCGATCATCCATTTTAAATGCTCGGTTTGCGTTGCCTCATAGTGGGTGTACTCGTGAACAACCGCTAAAACCGGAATGGAAGTGATGATACTTTTTTTATTTGGAATCGTCGTGATTTCCACAATAAGCACATAAATGTTCGTCTATTTTGTCCGATCATTGCTAATGGAATCTTGCCTGAAAGAATTTCATTTCTTAATTAAGTAGAAAATAGCCTTTTTGTACGTAGCTATTGTTGCCTCTCGATAGATAATGGACATTACTCATTTTTTAATTGTCCCATTTTTATTAGTACTATTACACTAGAGAGTCATCTAAATATACTTGTTAGAGCTTTTAATTCTTTTCCGTTAAGGAAGATTTCCTCACTCTTCCATTGGGTGGTTTTTGCAAGTACTCCTTTGTTTCTTCAAATTTAGGTATGCCTGGTATTTAATTATTATTAACCAATTAATGTTGGTGTATCCATTCAATTGCTGTATATTTTCTTGATAAATTTACAAAAAGGTTAAAAATTTAATTTATTTAATTTAAAAATATTCAATATAAGCCCAGATTTGTGTGGTGATTAGTGACCGTTAGTCGAAAATTATTCAGAAATTGCGAGATGCCTTCTGGTGTGATGTAGGTTTCAGAAAAACATTTTCTTTATCATGCCAACGTTTCGATCTTTGTTGAGATCATCTTCAGAGCCTCAACACGACATGCAAGAATGGCACAATTACACAGAAAACAAACACTTTGAGTGAGTAGAAATATTTTGATTGAATTTATATTTTAAAAAAATATTTTTTGCATTGTATAAATTCACTTTTTTCCACATCCTATATGTATTTGTTAAATTTAAACAATGTTCGTAAATCCCAGGCCCTGAAGATGATCTCAATAAAGATCGAAACGTTGGCACGATAAAGAAAATGTTTTTCTTAAACCTACATCACACCAGACCGCATCTCACGATTTCTGAATAATTAGGCTCAGATGTTTAAGACACCTGATATGGTCTTTAATTTTATATAAGTACAAAAAATTCAAAATTTTCGAATAACTTCAGACATGATCATTCTAAATTTTTTCACGTTTGTTTGCGTCCTACTTGTGATGAGTTTTGATTGCACATTGGGCGAGGCTGATTCTAAAATCAAGGGTGGCCATGCAGCAAATAACGGCGAATTTCCATACCTGGCCCTGATAGCTGGGGGAAACGCTTGCGGTAGCGCGTTGATAACATTACAGAAAATAGTCACAGCAGCGCACTGCTTCAGGATCGAGTATTCACCGGCGAAGTACGTCGATTTGAAGGCGACGTACGTGTTCGCCGGCTCTATTGTATTGGCCGACCAGGATAACGGTCAAATGACTCAGATCAAACATTACAAGATTCATGATCAATACAAACCGAGAGGAGACGGCAAGATGCTTTACGACATCGCTACAGCAGATTTGCAGAAAGCTTTCGTGCAAAACGACATGGTTAAGCCTATGACGTTACCGTCCAAAGATCCAAGCAATTTCAAATCGGCTTGGGATACATTCGTTGCGTCAGGAAAAACTTGCAGGATCATGGGTTGGGGGACAGAATCGGTCACTTTTGCTAGTGGACAACCGGTGCCAGGACAACCGTCACCAGCTTTAAAAACCACCGACGTCAAGCCATTGAGCGTTGCAGAATGTAAATCGGCGCAAGGACCCGGACAAGACCTTATGGACATGGGTTACCATTGCTTTTTGGGCGTAGAGCACGGTTCGATGCCACTCTTCGGAGATTCAGGAAGTCCAATAGAATGCGGGGGTAAAGTTTTTGGTGTAGCATCGGCCATTACATTCAGTAAAAACAATCCAGAGAAACCTACTCCATTTTTTTACGTAATGTTTGGAAACTACTTGAAAGACTTGGGTATTGATGCTGCTAATGGTGCTGTCCCGTTTTGCAACGTCGGAACATGGCCGTTTATATTCATTCTATTAACAACAATCATTCACACAATTTTATCTACTGTGACATGATACCAAGAAATAAAATTTATTCATTCCTCACTTATTATTTTATCTCAAAATAACACCTAATGAGTGTCTAAATAAGCTGAAAATAGTGAAATTTCCTGCTAGAGGTCTGTGGAGTGATATACCTGTAGTTTGGTCACCGATTATTTCTGATCTGACAGCGAGGTTAGGCGGAACAAAATGTTCAGAAATGACTAAACTACCGCAAAATTCTGCATATTTATTTAAATCAGTATTTGTGAGATTCCTTGTTCATATCTGCGGTGTGATGAACTTGTAGGTTGGTCGACTTCGATAATCCACTTACAGCTGTGGGTTTGTGTTACCACACCATGTTTATAACCCTGAACTGGTACTGTAGGTGGTGAAATGTGTCTGACTGATTAAAACAGCGAGTGTAGGTGGTGGAAAATGATCAGGAATAGCTAACTACCGAAAACAATTCTAATTTATTTAAATCGGTATAAGTTGTGAGATTTCTTGTTGAGTTCTGCAGTGTGATGTATTTGTAAGTCGGTCGTTGCTCGGTTTGCGTTGCCTCATACTGGCTATACCCCTGAACAACCGCTAAACATGGTGAAATGGATCTGGTCTATAAAAACATGATCATGAAAAATGATTACATACGACTACTGAATAAAAGATTTTCACTTGTCTTAATAATCAGTATAAGTTATGAGATTTCTTGTTATGATTTGCAGTGTGATGAACTCGTTGGTTGTTCGTCATGATCTCATAATTGTTTCTAATTCTTATGACTTTATTGTTCAAAGAAAAATAATAGGGCATTGTTTGATCCGGACAATCGGTCTTTACAAGAAAAGAATCCCAGTAGACTGCTGGCCGAGATAAGGGCTGATCCGAGGGATTGGCGCTAGAGATCATCTTCCCTTTCATATATCTCTTACGCCAATTATAACTTACCCTCTTCGTGTAACATCTACGGTCAATTTTTATATTCGAGTTCTAAAATAATTCTTATGAAAAAAGTTCGTTTTTGTAAGTTTTATTATGATTTTCAATGTAGTGTTGGAAATTCAGAAGTAATTAAATGTATTATATGTAATGGTCTACTGACCAAATTACTTCTTTCAATTAATTAATCTTTTTATGTAAGGTTTAGGTTGAAATGGAAAAGTTTGTGTCACGAGCGGGATTCGAACCCACGACCTACGGCTCAATAAGCTGCTGCTCTAACCACTTGTCATGATAGCTCAAGAGCGTATTGAGCCGAAGGTCGTGGGTTCGAATCCCGCTCGTGACATAAACTGTTTCATTTCAACCTAAACCTTACATAAAAAGATTAATTGATTTAGAACAAGTGGTGACAACATTACTGTAACGGATTGAAACAATGTTACATTTAATTGAGTTAATAAAAATGGTAATATTTACTTAGTTATAACGTCAGTTTAATCGTTGATCATATTTTGTTTAAAAAAAAAGATTTTAATTGTAATATAAATGTAATATTACTGTAATTACGTAATATTACTACAGTTGTAACAATATTTATGATATAATACATACATATAGATATCAATGTGTTGACAGCTCAAGAGGTGTTATTGGAATTAGCCCAAAATGCATTCATTAATAATTTAAATTTATTTACTAATTAATTTATTTAATTTAATAATGACTATGTTGTAAATAGTAAGTAAGAAATTGTTCTCACCAGACATTCAACTTTACAATATATTTTCCATACTAATTCATTAAAAAACCATGGGCTCTGCCGAGATTCGAACCCAGAACCGCTAGTGTGACGGACGCCCTAACTATTTGGCCAGTTCCATTTGAAAAAAGAGTAAAAAAAATTAAATACTGGAGTTCTTCAATAAAGTAGTCACCAACGTCCACGGGTGAATAGGAACCAGTAATGAAAAAACAAAGAATTAATTTTTTTTTATAAACTTGGACGTTATCGAACATTTTGATCTGCCTGACGTCAGACGATAGCTGTGTAGGTGTGTCTGACGCGTTTTGGCATTTTGCATTCTTCATTTTCAACTGTATTATTAACCTCAAGTGTAAAGTCCCTCGGCTAGTGCACTTCGTGTCATTCCGTTGAAATACCTTAACAGGGTCGACGTGTCTTTGGTAAAGAATAAGGTCTCACGGAAACACTGAAGATGACGAAATACTGAAAGCAGACCAATTCAGTGGGGACAGGCAGACCAAAATGATCGGAAAAACTAGATAAAAATTTACAAATATATAACGCTTGTTCATCCCTGATAAAGGTGATATAATAAAAAATTGTGTAATAAAAGTATTTATTTCCAAACTTGTCTGGAAGATAGCCAGAACTCCACTGAAGATGGAGAAATGAGGAAACGCATCTGGCAGACCAAAAACCGAGAAAAGGAGTAGCAGAATGATCAGCCATGACCTAACTATCGAAGAAAGGATCTGCACCTTTATTTAAATCGTTATACGTTCCGGTGAAGAGGAGATAGTGCTTTATTTGTTATCGGACTTGTCACCTTTTTTGTCAAAAAATAGAGTTTTTAGTTTTAATAATGATAATGCCCGGAATTAAATATTTTCCTTTCGCTCGATTTTGTTTTACTACATTTTATCTATTGTAATAACTTAGTTGAAAACACAACATTACATTATCTTAAATTTCTTTTTATTGGATTCACCTCGGTACAACATTGATTTCAATAAATGTAATTCACTCCAAAATAACTTATATTATTAAAAAAATTATCTAAAAAGTCAATTATTTGTTTACTTCGACGAGATTTTGAATCTGCAACTTACTTTTGTCAATGTTTTCGTGAATTACAAAACGAAAGAATTAATTAATTATATTATGCTTCTTTGTTTTAGTATAATTTATTTTTCTTAGCGTAACTTGGTAGTTAATTAAGTGCAGTATTTAAATGTAAATGCGAATCCACCTACATATTTTACTAGTTGGCTTATAATTGATCGAGATGGCTATCTTGCTTCTATCACAGCCACCGTTATTTGCATAAAACTCGGCCAATAAAACACGGCCAACTGCTAATTGTCATGTGCACAATTTGCCTAGTATTTTTATTTTATTTTATTTTTTTATTGAGACTAGGATATAAATCCTTCCGTCTACTTAATCGTGCGCTGTTACCAGATTACTGTAGTACATATTAGGAAGAGTGGGATAACTATTTATTCCTCGGTTGTAAAATTCATTTTCAGGACGTAGACGAGACTGTGAAGTCGAAGGAGGTAGTGGAGGAAAATAAAATTCTCATTGCAAGTTAGCTTGGCCCAAATTGAATATTTTATCAGAAGAAGTGTATAAGAGATCATGTAGGGTAAACTCGATGGGATTTAGGGGCAAGATAAATTACCAATAAAATAAAATTAAGGGTCCGGTCGCTCCCTGTTAATCTTTAGGACTGTCCCGAAGGCGTTTCCCTTCCTCCTGGTAAATATTTAGAGGTGCCTGGATGTTGTATGTGTGAGTGAGTGAATGGGAGGTGGAGGGTCTCGTGTTTGGAGATTTACAAGTGTACCTTCTATAAAAGTGTCCTGGGGTCACTTGGGGTGTAGTAAAGTTGGAAATCTCTGCGGTAAGTTATTGAGGAGCCTTCGGTAATTTCCCATGCGTATTGCTTCCTGCGACCGCCGAAGTCCTGAATGTCCGAATAACGTTATAAATCTAACGCCCGAGGATGAAATGCTACCCTTTTTTACCTTAGGCTTTTTCCATCTCACTTTTGATAATCTTCAAATAGAAAAAATACTTCAAGACAATTGTTATTGGAATTTATTTTAATTTTACACCAAAAGGCAAACATTATTTATATTTTAATCTGATAATGAGATGACATCAAAAATGTTGTCTAGCAATAAAGTTTCATGCTCAACGGAACAAAGGAAACAGTTTGAAAAAAAGACTCACCATTGAAAATGGGGGTCGCCTAACTTATTAAAACAGCTAGAATAGTCAGATCGAAAACGACTAAACGATAAATTAATGTTTTATTTATGTTTGTACTTCTCTTCTGATAACGTTGATGGTGTTGATTTCTATCAGTTGTGAACAGAAGAAATTTCGACGCACATTTGTTTAATATAATTCACGTTTGTGTAAACTGTAAGAAAGCAAGTAAAAACGCGGTCAGGGCGATGTCGCCGAAAGTTACACTGGAAAAAAATTATCCATAATCAAACCCCCCTCCCAGGATATTTCCATCGTACGCCGAAGATTATGAGGCATTCTCCTATGGAAGCGCGAAAAGTTTAAGTAGCATGAAATTTTCTGGAACCAATTCTTGACAAGTTGGAGCCAGTTAATCTCTTTTGACCAAGTATTAATTTTGCATAAAATTCGAAATCGAATGCCAGGAAGCTGGAGCATAGATCTCCTAGGAATATGACTAAGGGTGCAGAAGAAGGATGTGCCGTCTCTTTTACGTTACATATTCCGCAAATTGGCCAAGAAGGCGGCTGGGTAGAAGATTTTTACAATTAGATTGACGAAAATTTTTAAAATGCTAAATGCCCAGTTATAACGTTGACTTTAAATTGGAGAGTTCTAACCATTCTGTCAGTAGCATGTTTCTGGCAGTATATCAGTTTCCATCGAATATAATCTTTTACCTCCATGTTTACATTGGCTTATCCCCAGAGTATTTTGGGCGGATAGATGAAGCTCCAGGGGGATAAAGTCGTCTGAAGTATTGTAAGTAAAAACTAGAAGAGCCTTGAATGCACAGACTCCCGGTCTTAATTAGGGAATGGTGATGTAGGCAGATTGAAGGTTAGTCCACGATGATGGCGCCGATCCTTTGATGATGATGATACACTAAGAAGAGGGGTTTTGTATTCCCCATAGACTGCAGCCTCCTAGTTTATCGTACTTTTCCTAGTTCCTCAATTCTGTTCAATTGATCTTGAACCCCTTCCCTTTCTTAAGAAGTAATAAGTTATTGGCTGACATTACCGCAATTCTTTTTCTCAGGTCTTACTTTACCCTAGACTACGTCTCCATTGAGCTGTTGCTTCATATTCAAAGATAATATGAAAGGCGG